CATAAGGGACACAGACGGAACACTAGTAACCCCTCTCCCTCCCCCTGTTCTAACATGTTAGGGCTTTTTACTTGTCTCCCACACAGGAGTGTCCCAGACACTCTTTTATTCTAATTCTTGCTCATGATTGACTAGTTGTGAGCTCTTTCAATTAATTTTACTATCAGTGAGGCAACAAAAGTAACTGGACTTTGCCCCACAAAGTCCTGGCCCAGCCCAGAGTCTCAACACTCCATGGAACCCTGCTGAGGACAGCAGCCAGATTCTGACCAGGCCACAGAAGCAACATTTATTTTATAGTCGTCTATTTGTATATATCACACTTGCGGGATAATCAGAAATTACACTTTATATAACAGCACTCACTTTCCTTGGTTCCTTAGAAATGGTGAAAATAATCAACAAACTGATACCTGCGGAAGTGTTGAGGCAGGTCTCCAAGTGAGCAATTCCCACAACAATGCTGCTCTTTGTTTTATTGAAAATAATTTATTGATGGTATTAGGAAGAGGGGCAAAAGATTAAAAACCTGCATAAGCCTGAACTTGACTCCCTTAATATAGGTGACAATGGTGTGATTGGGACAATATATGAGGTCACTGGCAGTGGGTCCAAGACTTAACACTAATGCACACAAACTGACTTAGTGGAGCCCATTCTACCTGTGCAGATGAGACACAGGGGAGTGGCGTGGAGAGGTGCCTTGGTCCTGCCTCAATGAGTTGATGGGACAAACTTAGACTTCCTAGGGGGGGCCTTACTCTCTCTGTGGAGCAGATGGTAGAACGGAGGAGAACCGGAGGAGAGGAGAGAGGAGATTGGAATGTAAAAAATAAATTAATAAAAAAAGAAACTGATCTCATTCACTACTTTGAGCAAGACAGCGGTTGGAATTACAAAGCTCTTCAGGGGTCTTTCCTGCTGTATTTGAAATGTTTTTCTCCTTCCTTTCCTGTCTTCCTAGCCCTAGCAGCTGCTGTGACAACAACCAAATCACCATTCTCAGTTTAGAATGGTTGTTTTGTGTGGTGGCCCCCAACCATAAAATCATTTTCATTGCTATTTCATACCTGTAATCTTGCTACTGTTATGAATTGTAATGTAAATATTTTCAGAAGTGACCCACAGGTTGAGAATCACTGCTTTGGACTCAGTGGCTGTTGAGAAAACTTTAGTCTAATTAATTATGATGTAATTCTCCCAAGTAATAATTTGTTAGAAGAATAGTAAGGTATAGATTGACAGTAGAAGAAAACATTGACAGACTGGAAGCATTGACAGTCATTTATCTAAATGTTCAAGCACATCACACTAGATTTTAATGGTAGAAAACAGACTGGAAGCATTGACAATTATTAATCTAAATGTTCAAAAACATCACACTATGATTTTAATGGCAGGTATCAGTTGTCTATGTCAGGGTGTTTTTGGAATGGAGTGCAATAAAATCCTGAATTTTCTAGTTTAAGTACTCTTACTTAATCTTCAAACATTTCTTGATTTTGGATTGGGAAGCAGACTTGAGGCCATGACTGCCCACTGTGCACTCTGAAGCCCCAGCTTTGGTGACCAGCCCTGTAGCACGTGGTTTGGCCACTCAGGCAGGGAGCAAACTCCTCCTCTGCTGTCACCCTAGCATACCATGGTCTTGGAAATGTTTTCCAGACTTGGTTCCCCAGCTGCAAAGTAGGGTGACAGTATCTCTCATAAAATTTTAATTGGAATGAAATGACATAAGGGACACAGACGGAACACTAGTAACCCCTCTCCCTCCCCCTGTTCTAACATGTTAGGGCTTTTTACTTGTCTCCCACACAGGAGTGTCCCAGACACTCTCTTATTCTAATTCTTGCTCATGAATGACTAGTTGTGAGCTCTTTACACGAAGTTTACTATCAGTGAGGCAACAAAAGTAACTGGACTTTGCCCCACAAAGTCCTGGCCCAGCCCAGAGTCTCAACACTCCATGGAACCCTGCTGAGGACAGCAGCCAGATTCTGACCAGGCCACAGAAGCAACATTTATTTTATAGTCGTCTATTTGTATATATCACACTTGCGGGATAATCAGAAATTACACTTTATATAACAGCACTCACTTTCCTTGGTTCCTTAGAAATGGTGAAAATAATCAACAAACTGATACCTGCGGAAGTGTTGAGGCAGGTCTCCAAGTGAGCAATTCCCACAACAATGCTGCTCTTTGTTTTATTGAAAATAATTTATTGATGGTATTAGGAAGAGGTGTAGAAGTTTAAAAACCTGCATAAGCCTGAACTTGACTCCCTTAATATAGGTGACAATGGTGTGATTGGGACAATATATGAGGTCACTGGCAGTGGGTCCAAGACTTAACACTAATGCACAGAAACTGACTTAGTGGAGCCCATTCTACCTGTGCAGATGAGACACAGGGGAGTGGCATGGAGAGGTGCCTTGGTCCTGCCTCAATGAGTTGATGGGACAGACTTAGACTTCCTAGGGGAGGCCTTACTCTCTCTGTGGAGCAGATGGTAGAACAGAGGAGAACCGGAGGAGAGGAGAGAGGAGATTGGAATGTAAAAAATAAATTAATAAAAAAAGAAACTGATCTCATTCACTACTTTGAGCAAGACAGCGGTTGGAATTACAAAGCTCTTCAGGGGTCTTTCCTGCTG